TGTCTGCAGAATGAAGTCAGTAAGAGAGAAACAATGAAGAGAAATCGATCAAGACAAAAATCTTTGAGATACTCCCTTCACTTCAGTTCTTAGGGCTAGAGTTTCTTCAGCTCATGCTTTGATTCTGTGATTTTTTTTTCCAGTTTCTTCCCTGATATAGTAGTCTATGCATTTTCTTATGGATTAAACCTGGACTCATTGGATATTAGTTACCTGGAATCAAAGAGTCCTAATTTTTGTCAGCCATCCTTTAAATGCCCTATTAATGGATATTGATACAAATCATACAAATCCATAGTAAACTCATTGATTTGTTCTTTGTGAAATTGACCTTTCCCTCGTGTTTTATAATCCTTCATCTCCAAATGTATCATGTCCATTCTCCAAAGCTACTTAGAGACTTGTAAGAGCCTCATCTAGATGTCCAAACAAATCCTTTTCCCCACTGAAAGCAGAGCAATAATGGAATTTTGTGAAGGGTAGTTAAGGACGTTAACAGTAAATGCAATTCCTCAAATACTTCTAAGGCACTACCTGCTGTAATCTCCTCCTGACTAGTCCTCTCCCTTACTCCTGCCGTATCCATCTCTAGGATCCTTTCAACCTGCTCCAAATTCTGGAATATGCTCTTTTATTTGAAAAAAAAATGTCCAATGTTTATTTTTTTAAGTTTTCATTTAAATTCCATTTAACATACAGTATAATGTTAGTGTCAGGTGTACAATACAATGATTCAACGAGTGATGAGCATTCATCCCATGCTCATCACCCATTTCCCCTATCCCTCACCCATCTCCTTTCTGGTAACCATCAGTTTGTTCTCCATGATTAAGACTCTATTTACTGATTTCCCTCTCTCTCCCCCTTTGCTCTTTTCTTTTGTTTCTTAAATTCCACACATGGTATTTGTCTTTCTCTGACTGACTTATTTCACTTAGTATTATCCCCTCTAGATCCATCCCTGTTGTTTCAAATGGTAAAGTTTATTTTTTTTGTGGCTTAGTAATATAGGTATATACGTATGTATAATGGAATTATATATGGTGGAATGGACAGAGATGATATATATACCACATGTTCATCAATTGATGAACACCGGGGTTGCTTCCATAATTTGGCATGTATTTGACTGAAATCACTGACCAGTGTATGTAACAGGGAAGCAGTTAAGTTTCCCTGTTACCTTGCATTCTTAAAATAATTTATTTCATCATGCTTGTGAATAATGAAATACCGGCACTTGCTCTTAACGTTATGTTTAATGAAAAAAGAAAAAGAAAAGCCACACGGTAGACTTTCCATCCCAACTCTGGTATGTCTTAGTCCTCTTATCTGGACCATAAAACACGTGGTCTATTCTTTGACAAATGACCACTCTTCAGTCAAGGTGGCACGTAGGTCCCGTGCTTGCCTGCAGAGCTGGTGTAGAGTCGTCTGATCCGAATAGCCTTGCCTTTCTTTGAGGGGAGCTGACAAACCTGCTCATTTGTCAGGTCTTTATTTTTAAGCCATTTTCTCTTTAAGTTCTCAATACTGCCACAAACTAGGTTAGGAGCTCCATGCAGCTATACAGTGGCATCGCACGTTCTGAATATCCTTACTGACCATTATGTCTTCAATAACCTTCTTTCATATTAGACTATCGCCTCTATGAGGTCAGGGACCACGTCTGATTTGTCCATCTAGCATCTCCTATCTATAAAATGTATGTTTTATTTCTTTATAAAGAAATACCAAGGCTAGATTTTTTTGGATAGGATTAAGTATCGAGATCTACAAGCACAAAAGTAAAAAGCCCATTTTCTTAATACAAATAAATGAAAATGAAATAAATATTCACATCATGCTGACTACATTCTTGGGAAAAAACATGACTTTTTGCACATTTACATGACATCAAATCAATTCCGAGAAAATATTTGGGTCTATAAGTGGATCATATACAATATTAATTCTTTTCTAATTAATTTTACACAAATAGTCTGTAATGGGAGCATTAGGGAATGAGTTGTCTCTCGTTATTTTCACTGCAAATGTTAAAAGGGAATCTACAATGCAAATATTCTTTCAGAACTCTGAACTAAGTCCAAATGTTTTCTTTCAGGGTGGCGTAGAGTGGAAATGCAGATAGAGTGTAAATACCAAGCAGCGAAAACCTCTTTCTTGGCACTTGGTTATGGAGGCTCGAATGAATGCATGGACATTAAGGAAGGAGAAGGGAGTTAGGAGTCAATTCACAGCAGGCAGATTGCTACTTATGTTTTTCGATTCATTCATGTGTGAAAGAATATCATATCGTAAAATGAACCATTAGAAAGCCAGAGAATGGAGCATATGGGAAATAAATTCCTGAACCAGGCCAAGAAACAGATGTGAGTGTGTGTGTGAGTGTGTGAGTGTGTGTGCATCCAATGAGTGGAATCGAGAAATCTATCTGTTCTCTGTCTGTATGTGCTACATAGGTTTAGAACCACAAAAGTTCTGAAGATGCTCCTGGGGTCGCGGGGATGGCCTCATTCTCAACAGCCTGTTTAGGATCTAGGGGTAAACAAGCTGTCTCTAACCTCACGTTTAGGCAAACGTATCTGAGTAGCAAAATCTAACAAACATATATTTGTGTTCGTTTTCCCATTATTACTCTGTGGCCATTTCGAAACTGAAGTCAAAGCTCACAAAGACGATTCAGTGAACTGTCAATTTTGGTAAACACAAACAATTTAGTAAATCAGTGCCCTGATTTACTAGGCAATACTCCAAGTATTAACTACGTTACTACTCCAAGTATTAATAACTAGGCGATACTCCAAGGCTCTAACCTCATACCGACCCATGTACTTACCTCATGGGGCTTTGGACATTATAGCCTTGTTTAAGGCAATTATCCTAGGCCCTCTAGCTCCACTCATTTAGTCCTATTTAGGACTGTTCTTAATTACTCCATGCCTGGATTTATTGCTTGTCTCTTAGTCTTCTCCCAGTTTATCCCGAAACATTGTGTTGCACCTAGCTTCCATTTTTTTTTTCATATTCAGTGAACGCTTTTCTACATTGTTTGAACCATAACGTCATCACTTCCTAATTGTGTGAACTGTTAAAATCAAATACAAACAGAGATCAGGCTTGAAAATACCCTGAGCAGACAAAACCGGTTTAGTCATCAAGCAAAGTTTAATTTAGCTCATTTTGGGAGACAAATTAGGCTAACTTGACCTGGGTCACTTCCTGCTTATGCCTCTGAAAGTGGTAAACAAAATTTAAATAGGTTCCCAAGGTTGATATGAAGTAATCGTTCACCAATTCCCCCTCATTTAAGAAAATTGTAACGTTGTGACCAATCGGGGTAATGAATAGACACTGCCCGCTGGCTAGGTGCGGTGCTTTATCACAAGACACCTCTGCTCCTCGGGTCCAGGTTTTGGGTGCGCTCCCAGTTTGCAAACAGTCTTTCGGGTGTGTGCACAGTAAAATTCTTCAAATGGCTATTCAAGTAATTGCTTGGTTTTACTTCAGTTTTTAAGCTTACTTTTGACAGAACTTACAAAGATCAACTAAGCCTTCTCAACCTCAATCTTTCCATTTGTAAAATTAGTATTGTGCAAATCACTTCCCCTATAAAATCCGACATAAACACCAAGGAAGTCTGAGATGGTGAATGAATGGCAAATTTGAATCATTTGCTCGCCTTCTTTGCTGGCTTCACGGAGTGGTGTCACAGCACTACCTTAACACACCTCCATTTCCCCGAGTTACCGACCAGCTCAGATCCTACCCTGCCCTACACCGGGCACCGGTTCGGGGGAGTCTGGCGGGGGGCGGCGAAGCAAGGTCAGATTTGTGACGCAGACTCACACGTTCTATTAAACATTCTATTAAAAATTAAATAACCACAGAGTGAATCCAGAAACTGTAGAAAGGAAGGAAGGAATAAATAGGAAACTGACTTAAATTAAAAATAATAATAATAACCACAACAAACACTGGAGATAATCAACTAAATCTAAAACTGATTTCTTAAAAGACACTAAGAAGATTGGAATGCCTCTGCTAAATTTACCAAAGATGAAAAAGAGCAAGAGTAGAATTGAACATTACAAAAAAAAAAAAAAAAAGAAAAAAAAAAAAGAGGGGACATTAAATACATGGAGGATCTTTGTTACTCATCTATTTCTAAACATAATCTTTTGCTAAATCATTTTAAAAATGTGTTTTTCTAGAAATGTTTTATTCATTTTCTCTTATGCATACAGACTCAAAAATATTTTAAAAATCAGAATAGATCCACAGTCATTAAAGAAAGTAATAAAATTATCTGTCTCAAAAACACAACACTACACCCAAAGTGTTTGATAGGCCATAAATTCTAGAAAGGCAATCTAAAATGTCTACTCTCCTATTTTGTCCAGATTACTGTTATCAGCTACAACTGGAAACCCAGACACAGAAATGCAGACAATAGTCACAGTGAATTATTTTAGGGGTGATGATTCACATACACAAAAAAAGTGTGTAGCTTGATTCATTTACATTAAGTGGTTGACACAGTCTCTTGTCACGAGAGGCAGGCTTATTGTTCCCAAAACGACAAAAATCACGACTTTCTCTGTTCCAGAAGGAAGTTGAGTGAAGCATTATCTCAACTGTCTTAATAATTACATTTAAATAAATAAGAGAAGAGGAAGGAAGGAAAGGGATGGCATTACCCCAGAGAAGGGAATACGTCTTAGTATCAAATATTTACAAGCCAATGTAGGAAAAAAAAAAAAAAAGGAAATTTGCAAGAGATCCTAAAAGGAGATGGATTTTAGCGAGAATTCCAGAGAAGAGTTTTGTCTGACTTTTAAAAGATAAGTAGGACTCCACAAGTTAGGGAAAGGAAAAGCTTTGGAAAAAAAGGATTTTAGGGAAGCTGAGAACCGTGAGGAAGCCTGGTGTTTGGGGGGCGAGGGGGACGCAGGTCCCACCAGCGACTCCTGCTTCAGGGGCTCCTCGAGGTCACCACGATGGCTTGGACCATGCCCGACCCCCCAGCTGAGGCCCTCACCCAGGTGGCTGCATGTGGCGGTGGGGCCTACGGGGCAGGTGCAGCGCTGACGGCGGGGAGGACAGAGCTCAGGCTGATGGCGGCGGGGGGGGGGGGGGCGCGACCCCGAGGACCCAGACGGCCGCACCTGCCGGGCTCTGGTAGCGCACTTGGGGCGGACCAGCCCTCTGACACCGCCCCAGGGGGACACAGGAGGCCCGAGGCCTGGGGCCGGCCGCGCGACTGGGTCCAGGGGACAAGGGCGAGGAAGGCGGTGGTGAGTCCCGCCTGCACCTGCTCCGGCGCAGTCACGGAGACCCCGATGCGCCTTGGCCCGGGCTCCCATCAGCCGGTGGCGCCGCTGCGGAAGGTGCTGGAAGAGGCCCGCGCGCAGGACCCGCTGCCCCGCGGGCCGCACAGCGCGGGGGTCATGAGGGCTGCGGGGCCTCGGCCCGGGCTCGGACACGCTCAGGTGTGCACACCCCTGCGCGGGGCTCTGACACCCTCAGGTGTGCACACCCCTGCCCGGGGCTCTGACACCCTCAGGTGTGCACACCCTCTTGCACTCAGGTGTGCACACCCTCTGCCTGGGGCGCTGATGCGCTCAGCTGTGCACACCCTCGGCCCCGGGCTCTGACACGCTCAGGTGCGCACACCCTCTTGCGCTCAGGTTTGCACACCCTCTGCCTGGGGTGCTGATGTGCTCAGCTGTGCACACCCTCGGCCCGGGCTCTGACACGCTCAGGTGCGTACACCCTCTTGCACTCAGGTGCACACCTTGTGCCCGGGCTCATTCCGAGGGAACAGGGGCCACTTGGACGAACAAGACGCGGCGGCCAGTGCGGGCGGCTGCTGTGCGCACCCCGAAGGCGAAGCCCCCCGCCCCCCCCCCCCGCCCGGACGAACTGGGGCCGCCGCCGACCCGGGCGACACGCGAAGGCCGCGCTGTGGTGCGCAGAGCCCGGGGGGCAGCATCCGCCACAGGGACGAGGTGTCGGCCCCTTCAGCCCCGGGCGCCGGGGAACAGCAGCGGGGACACCATCTGGGGACCACCTGCTGAGCCGCAGGCTCCCGGGATGGGCGACCCGGGGCGGGGACCGCGAAGGAGAGGCCGCGCAGGTGCAGGTGCGCGCGGGACGGGACCCCCACCTGCCCCGGGGCCGCTCAGGGCGGAGAACGGCGGGAGCCGGGTGAGAACCCAGACAGGGCCTGGGACCTGCACGCACCGCGGCGCCCAGGCGAGCCGCTGTCCCCAAGGAGGAGCCGGAGGACGCGCTGCCCCCGTGGCCTCCCGACCCCGCGGGCCACGGTCACCCCCGGTCCTGGGAGGGGCGCGAGGATGTCCAGGCCCGGGCGGGGGGGGTGCGGAGGTGGTCGGGCCCCTGCCCAGGGCCAGCTGCTGTCGGGATCCTCCTGCAGGTGCTCGCTCCACTGCTGATGTCACCTCCTGGCATCGTCCTATGAGATGCTCACCTGTGTGTCCGTAACAGGAGTCAAACCTCCATCTGAATGTGAAGTTTCTACCCACCCTCTCCAGCCCCGCCCCACTCCTCATGTGCCTCACGTCCAATCTTGTCCTGTCGCCCGTTTCCCCAAACCGAGCTGGTCCGTTAAGAACGCGGGTGCCCCAGCTCAGGACGGCCTCGCGGAGACGGCCTGTGCCCCTTCTCACAGACACTTCTAATCTGCGGCTCCCTGTGGAACAATTTCCTCTAAAACAAACAAAACAAAACAAAACAAACTCCTCTGCTACTCCGATACTAAGGGAAGGACTCCTTCGCATCTGGGGAATGAGAAAAACAAAGAAACAACGCGCTGAAGCAGGCAGAAAGGTGGCGACACGATGTCCCCGGAACCTCCCTACCTGCCTGGGGCCCAGGTGCAGGGGGATCTGAAAGCCCGGAGCTTCTCCCCCAGGAGCGGAGCATCCACACTCCAACATCAGGTTCCCCGACTTGTATACCTTTACCTGAGGGATGAGCCCCCCAAATATCTAGTTTTGAGAGCTGGCAGGGCTATAGCAAACAGAAATGACTCGGAGGCTCTTGCAGGGGCACCTGCTTCAGGGCCCGGAGCACCAGGAGTCTCGGAAAGGCACCAGACTTGACGGCAAACAGCTTCAATGCTGACTGTAAAGCATCAGACTGAGAGGCAGGGGCCTGATGGGATATTCCCCAGGGACAAGGCTCGTGGACACCCTCCCTTAGACCTGCCAGGGCAGCAGGTGCCAGCCCTCCACCCTCACCCCTCCTCCACTTGGGTCCCATCTTTCAGCCTCAGCCACCAGATGCTATCTTCACACATTTTCCTTAACCTTCCTAAACCTGGAGGGCATCATCTTTTTCTTTTCCTCTATTACTTTTATCATTTTAGTCTTTTTTTAAAGATTATATTTGTTCATGAGAGACAGAGAGAGAGAGAGGCAGAGACACAGGCAGAGGGAGAAGCAGGCTCCATGTGAGGAGCCTGATGCGGGACTCGATCCCAGGGCCCCAGGGTCATGACCTGAGCTGAAGGCAGATGCTCAACTGCTGCGCCACCCATTCCCCCCACTTTTTTTTTTTTTTTACTTTTTTATTTCTTTTTTTTCAGTGGGTACCATCTTTGCCCTGTCCCTCTGCCTTGCTCCCAGTCACCAGTGTCTCCCAGAGAGAGAGTGACCTATAGCCCAGCTGTCGCACCCTGATGCCTCATTGTGGAGGCCAGGGGGGCTTGAGTTCCTGGGTCCCGGGAGGATGTAACAGGGAGATAGTTCTTGGCAGCTGCCGATCCCGGGGCAGCCTGCGGGACGGTGCTCTCAAGCACCCAGTCGTTCTGAGGAAGAAGCCCGTTTGCTCACCCAGGAGCTGTGGTCTGAATTCCCGGCTGGGCTTCGGCGCACTTCAAGGGGAGGGAACAGGGGCTGGTGCACACAGGTGTCGTGCCCCCTTCTGTCTCGGTCCTGCTCCCTGAGAACACGCATGACGGGCATTCTACTGCGAAAGTCGTGACACCTGTGATGTAAGTTAGATAATCACAGCAGCATTTCTCACAATAAGTTGTCTGTGATATATACCTACTGCTTGTTATTTGACCAAAAATAAGTAGAAATATTCATAACCCTAACATGTTGAGATGTGATAGACGTTATTGCATGAATAACTTTATTTAGCCTGTGCGAGGCTGTGAAGAGTCCTAAAATAATGTGAATCTTGAATCACTAAAAAGGCGATTTGATATACATCGATAGTGGACATTTTCTTAAACTATTCAGCACGTAATTTAATCAAAGCACGTGTTAATTATTTAACATGGATCAAGGCATTTCCTAGGATTAGGATTCCACGAAACATACTTTGCAAAACAATGTTGAAGTAACTTCTCATAAAAGCCAAATTCTTTTTACGTCTTATAAGCGTGTCATCCTTATGACATAATAAATTTAATAAATTTATAATAAATTTATAATAATAATTTACTTTTTCATATATAGATATGTACTCATACATCAAATCAAGAGTTTTATCCTGGGATCCCTGGGTGGCGCAGGGGTTTGGCGCCTGCCTTTGGCCCAGGGCGCGATCCTGGAGACCCAGGGTCGAATCCCACATCGGGCTCCCGGTGCATGGAGCCTGCTTCTCCCTCTGCCTGTGTCTCTGCCTCTCTCTCTCTCTCTCTCTCTCTCTCTCTCTCTCTGTGCGACTATCAAAAATAAATAAAAATTAAAAAAAAGTTTTATCCTTATTCTCCTAACATTCTTCCCCTCCCCACAATCCAGCTAAGATCCTTGGATGTAATAAGAGCTTGGTAAATAATTCCTTCCATGGGGTGACCTAATTTTAATTCCTAACATGTTTCTGATTTGTTATCATAAAATTGACATCACAAAATAATAAAACGACGTAGGAGACACGGCCTTCTTAGGAAATTGTTACCCCTTCCAACTCTTCATATAGTTTCTCGTGTACCTGGGGATCGGTGGAAGCGAGGCTGCCAACCTGCAGGGAGATGAGAGTCTGTCCCTGGGATTGCAAACACTGCTCAATAAATCTCACACAAGATTTAAATACGTACATGATGTTAACAAAGACATACATGATTCAAATAAATCCTCTGGCTTAAATAGGCCTCAGAAAATCCACGCAGTAGCGGATCATGAAATGTTTGCTTTCCCAAATCAGAATTGTGAATGGTAATCCGTGAAAAACAAGGGCGTGCTAAGCTGGCATTCAATGAGTGCGAATTTGTATTGAATCTCCCTACCTGCTCGTTCTGGCTTCTTTTCTTTTTTTCTTTTCTTTTCTTTTCTTTTCTTTTGTTTTTCTTTTCTTTTCTTTTCCTTTCTTTTTTTTTAAATATTTATTTATTTATTATTTATGATAGAGAGAGAGAGGCAGAGAGACACAGGAGGAGGGGGAAGCAGGCTCCATGCCAGGAGCCCGACACGGTACTCGATCCCGGGTCTCCAGGATCGCACCCTGGGCCAAAGGCAGGCGCTAAGCCACTGAGCCACCCAGGGATCCCCTCTTTTCCTTTCTTTCCTTTCTTTCTTTTTTTCTTTTCTTTTCTTTTCTTTTCTTTCTTTTCTTTTCTTTTCTTTTCTTTTCTTTTCTTTTCTTTTCTTTTCCTTTCCTTTCCTTTTCTTTTCTTTCTTTCTTTCCTTCCCTTCCTTCCCTTCCTTCCTTCCCTTCCTTCTCTTCTCTTCTCTTCTCTTCTCTTCTCTTCTTCTCTTCTCTTCTCTTCTCTTCTCTTCTCTTCTCTTCTTTCTTCTCTTCTCTTCTTTTCTTTCTTTCTTCTTTTCTTTATACATCTGCCATTTGTACTGTCGACATAACTGAATGGGGACATACTTTAGGAAGCACAGATTAACATGGTCTCTCCTACCCAGATCGCTGTACCTTTAACCCATTTGAAACCTTCATATGTAAAAATAAATTTAACAGAACCAAGCACTTTCCTATTAAAGGGATTTAATTATTGCAGCAATGTGGTATTTATTTGTCCCAGTAACCCTTAAGAGATCATAGATAATCGCTTTTGCTAACATAGCATGAACACACCGGATAAATGACATTTAGAAAGTAATTAACATCATTTCCACACTTAATGTCTCTTCGCGCATCATGAAGACCGCGCCTCTTGATCTGCCCTCATGATGTGTGACATCCTTATTTTACAATAGATGTGCCACTGCTTCACAACTGTCCTCTGTTATCACACTTTTGCAGTTCAGATTATTCATATCACAAATGCAGACGCATGAGACAGCGCTATGGAAAGAGCTATTTATGACGGTGTACCATGGAGGTTATAAATCAATCCCATCACATCTTTATCGGAGACCCAGGAATGCTATCGAGGCCAGGAATCGGATTAGTTTACCCCTCAATTTTGATATTTATTTTAAAACAATGTCGCCATTGCAAGAAACTAGTCATTTCTCAATTTCATATCCAATTTCACATGTTGCTGTGTTACTCCATTTGAATAATTTATAAGAATTCTATTTTCTTCTAATAACAGAATCTGCGATTTCCCGTTTGATAAAATCATTCAATATTAACTATTTTTTGGCCAGGGATCTTTTAATTACCTTCTGTTCTTTTAATAATTTATATTCTAATTGAATCTTTTGGTCACAGCTGAAAGAGAAACTGAACTTGCCTTGCCCTACAAATTCCTAATAATCTATAAACAGTTGGCCGGAGCTCTACCCGTGGAAGTTCCATTTCAGTTGCCAGGTTGGTTTTCTGTATTACACATACGTCAGAGCTGTGTTTCTTCATTCACTTATTTTACTCTTTTACCAACTGTAGGTGACTCCTCTGCACCCATTGGTTTTAGGTCCCTGATACAATATAGAAAACACAACGCATTAGCTTCGTTCTCTCAAGAGGCTTATACATGAGAGGTGGAAAAACATAATTACAACGTGGAAGAAATTCACGGAACAAAAAAATCAGAGCCTGAAAAGAAACAGGAGCAGCCTGTTTAGATTAAAGCAGTGGGGTACGACCTCTCCGGGCGGTAAATCCCACAGAGAGCAGTGCCAAGTACTGGGGTGACCAGAGTGTGTCGTCTCCCAAGACTGTGAGGAGCCCAGCGAGCTCTGGGGACAGGGAGTGAGGAGCATGGGGGCAGGAGGCTAAGCCGGAAAGGGGCCCGGAGTCAGAGCAAAAGGGTCCTACAGTGTTCACCATAGGTTACCCGGAGAAACTTAGAAGGAATTGCCTCAGGAGACTCCGTTTTCCCTCTTTGGATTCCGTCCTGTGCCTTGCTGTGTTGCCCTTGTTGCTCCCAGATCAGGCAGGAGAAGGAGGAGAATGGGCTCCACCCTGTGAACACTGCGATTCGCAGGCAAGGGTGTTACTAGGATAGGCCGTTGTCCTGGGGTCCTCGGAGCTTGCCCTTCCTCCGCACTGACCCGGGGTATGTCAGGGCGTCGCAGCCTTGCACAACCACCATTCTTCCCACTTACAAAGAACATGAGAGTGTTTTCCTTGGAAAA